AGGGAAACATGGAGCTGAAAGTGAATATAATAGATTTTTTTCTTTCCTCTAGTCCTTAAAAAGAGACGCCGTGTTTCAGATCGACGATGACCTGAATGCTCAGTATAAGAAAATAAAGTATATTTATTATTCGCTGGGATTTTTTTTAGCTAATTGAAACTGTGTTGGAATACATTCATACGCACAGTCGCTTCTGCTGGCACCATTTTAATGATGTTAGTATGGGAAGCTTCGAACTAGCCTGCTGGCCCTGTTTGGTGGAGTTTGTTAAAGTCGATTAGAAATGAATGAACAAAACTCCAAATGAGACAAATAACACTCATTAAAAAAACTGTCATTTTCAAGAGAGTGATGAGCAGAACCAGAATCAATTATTCTTTTAATCACTGAAAGCTACTAAAGAAAAAAAATACAAATGAATAAAAAGATGAAAATGCTTCTTCTCACAGCAAAGTTCAGAGGTCAGTAAATCTTTCAGCCTCAGGAACAAAACTATTCTTAAGTTTGGTGGTACAGCAGCAGATACTTGTGTTTATCTGTTTATCTGCCAGATGGCAGCGTGGTAAACAGGCTGTGGACTGTGGATGGAGTGGGTGTCGTCTTTAAATATCCTTCAGAATTTAATAAAAATAGCAGCCTAGCGAATGTTGAGAATGGAGGTCAATGCAAATAGATGCAGTTGGTGGTTGAAAAGTTTTTTCTCATCTTTGTGAAGAAAAAACAGAAAAATTCCACTTTTAGTGGTTTGCTGGTTTTCTGATTCAAAGGCACTTTTCAGAAAAATATATTATATTGAACATTACGTTGCACTTACACGTGTACGCAAGCAACCAAAAATTGCAGATGCTAATTCTGCAGAAATCAAGCATAAATTGCAACAGATAGTTTAGGTTAAATGTTTAATTGTGGTTTAACAGGGTCTGAACTCCTGACTCTTTGGCTTTCTTGACTCGTTGGACTTATTCTTACCTCGAGACCCCGGTGTGGTGAGATCTCGTGCCAAAATGCAGAAAATAACATCCCAGTTGTATTAAACCCAACATAACCCCACAAACTCCTGCTTCGGTGGACACACAGTACCTCTCCGTCTTTGGACTCCAGTCGCAGCTCACTCCTGCAGATGGCCTGGATGTCTCCGGCCTCAGCCAGGATCTGGATTCCCTTCGGGGCCTCCATCAGCAGAGAGCGGGTAGGAGACTCCAGCCTGGAAGCATACAGAGGCAGCAGCTTACAAACGGCAGGTACAACGTTCAGGGTGAGGGGCTGAAGTGAACTCCAACACCGATTCATGTATGATGGGTGGGAAATAGTTTACATGATACATATGGCACAGGAGCCTCGAAGGTTTACATGGAAACCAAGCACCAAGTTAACAGATGTATCAGAAAAGAAAGGGTCAATTCA